TTGAGTTTGGTGGAAAATGAGGAAAGAAGGAATAAAAAAATACATTCGAAATAATAATCTAATACTTTTATACTTACTGGTACTGGTACTACCAGAAAATATTGTCAGTATACTGCACTTTTTCAAAGTGGTGCAGTTATCATGTCTAATAAAACAGTCGTCTGTGAAACGTTTGGAACAAAAATGATCATTTTGTTTCGGACGCGAATTCACAATATTTATGATTTTAAGCCATAATTTTAGTCTAGGTTAAGTTGGAAAACTGTTTTTTTTTAAATTTGATAATCATCTGTTGTTGGGGACTTGGTTTGTTAACATATATGGGTAGGAAAGAAAATCGATAAGTATAATAGACAAGGAACTCGACAACTCTATTGAATTTTATCGTTTACCAAAACTCAGTAATATACAGCCAAAGGTGTTGGTATTTATGATATTAAGATTAGTAACAAATTTTTAAGTACTTATATTATCAAATCGTTTTAATTTGTTTAATATTTGCTGCAATTTCACTTACTTGTGAAATGTTATACCACTTCTCTTTTGGTAACGAGTTTTACAGAATTTTACGCACACTCTCATTATTAATAATAATAATACTTATTATGTAACTAATATTATACACAATTAAACAACATGAAATACTTTCGTTTTTTAGTTTAAAAGTTCACTATACTGATTTATTAAATAAGACAATTTGAATATGACAACAAACTTTGGCATATTATGTCAATTTTATTTTTCAAGACATCCTTTAGCGGCGCTTCAAATTGGCACAGTCATTTTCTATGGTATAGCCAGTCCAGGGTACTTGTATATATAGAGGTCAGTGTTGTGGAGGGATGCAATGTTTTTGAAGCTTTACATTCTATGAGCTCATTGAACACACTTTGAGTTTGGGACACTTTCAATTCATCTAAGTATTGTTTTAATTGCAAAATCTGCTCATTAGCCTCACTTAACTGCAACTGCAATGCCGCAATTAATCTGAGGGAGTCCTCATATTCTTTGCTGCATCGGTCAAACTCATCGACTGTTTCCTGAAGCTGATCCCTTTCTTTTAAAACATTTGTGTAGTCTTTATGCAACTTAACCATATCACTTTTTAGTTGACTATTTTTGGCAATAATATTTATTATTTCCTTTTCGTTGTCATCCCTTTCTTTAAGGAACAGCTCACACTGCTCTTTAGACGCTTTAAGTTCTAGAAGCGCCATTTGACGTTGGTTCTCCATTTGGCGCGTTTTGGCGTTGCTTGTATTCATTTTACTATTATGTGTAAATAGCAAAAGAAAACAAAGAAAGAAAACCGAAGAAATAGAGTAAGCTAATATCTAGATCTATGGGTCTACTTACAGATCTCAAATTAAATTTTCAGGTAAATAATTCAAATTGAAATCCGAAACTGCACTAATTTAAAAGGTAAATCTTAAAATATTAAAGGGATAACAAGAAAATTACAATAACTTACAGAAAGTGCAAACGATGTTCGTTACAGCTGTCACTTTTAGTTGAAACACAAAACACTATTTAATTAAAATACTTATGCCTTTTACTTATTTTACCAACACAATTAAGTATTATTTAACAACTGTAACTAAAAATTGAGGTGGATATTATCAAATTACAATATTTAATTTTGCTAAATTGTTGGGAGCTATTATTTTACAACTTGTCACTTGGGTTGCCACAGAGTATCTCCTATATATATATATATATATATATATATATATATGTTTGTGTGTGTGTGTGTGTGTGTGTGTGTGTGTGTGTGTGTGTGTGTGTGTGTGTGTGTGTGTGTGTATATATGTAATCATAAAACATGCTGCGAAAATACGAGTATATAAGAAAATTTGATAGTAGCAGATATGATGATAAATTAAGTGAGGCTGTCAATGCGGTAAAAAATGGAACAATATCTGCATACGCCGTATCAAAACTTTGTAATATACCAAGAATAACAATCGTTAACCGTGTATACGACCGCAAAGGTCTAAAATCCAAAGTGCCATTGATATTTTTAAAGAGTGACTAATATAGTTCACAGAGGCTTGTGATGAAAAATATCAATCGCTGTAGAAATACAAGACATTCCAAAAACCAAATTTGATACATACTTGACCAAGGTAATATATTATTATTATTTTTATAATCACAGATTTTCATTACAATATATTGTTTCGCTAAAATTAGGTATGTAGGATTTATATATAAAGTATACTCATACGTTTTGGGTTTTATAGAGTGACCTAGAGGTGTACCTTGAAGAATGCTAAATTAAAATACTGGTTATGATTAGATGAAAAACGTTTTAAAAACGACATAAAGTTGATGAGAAAAAAATTAACGAGTAGGGTAAAGACTAGTTTTTATGATAATGCCAAGGTACAACTACCTAAAAATTAAAGTAATATTAAAGTTGATTTCTGGTCGTTTTAAAATAATTCTGTTAATTTTTTTCAATTAACAATAATATTTTTTTTATCTCAAATAATAATATATATAATATAGTAAAATAAAAAAGCATCATATTTCGAATTAGTATTTGTAAGAAATCTCATACCATAGCTCAATAACAATCCTTCTTTCAACCATGGTTTCAAAAAATCATAAATCTGACTCTTTTGATGATATTTCATATTAGAAAGAATTACCTGAAAATTTTAAAAAGCATGTTTATTACGATTTGACACAGACGTGACACAAGAGACAAGGCATGCAAAACTTAGCACTTACTTCAATATCTTCAGGATTATAAATATTAATCGCTCCGTAGGGGAAGCACCAGAATCTGTATATGCCATTATTTTCATTTGCTAATTTTCTTCCTAGTTCAAAAAGTTTCACTGAAAGTAAAAATTGCAATTAAAGTATAATACAGTGGAGTATTTACGAATTATAGGGAAGGCACCAGAATTTGTGTATGCCATTATTTTCAATTGCTAATTTTCTTCCTAGTTCAAATTTTGTCATTTATTTTGTATATTTAATATAATATTACATAACATTATATCACAATTACATTTTAATAATATTTTTATCTGAATATTTTTAAAGGTATCTATGTCAAATATAAAAAAAAACATACTAAATGTATGTTTAACAAAACTTATTGATATAAAATTTAAATAACAAATATATTTATTTAAATTAGAATAAGCGTCGTTCATAAATGCTGGGCACGCGAGAGTTAAAAATGGACGAATTTATTCCACTTTGACTTTGATGTGGAAACTTAAAAATAATATAAAAGAATAATGAGCAGATTTAAATATAAAAGATTGGCCTAATTATGATCTCATATATCTTTCTACAAAAAAAATGTGTATAATAATATTATATTCGTCCTATATTAAGTACCCACAGAAATGTCGCATCTGAACAAATTAATTTCATAATCTATATTACATGACACAAGATGGCATCTTAGGAATAATTTGTTTTATTATTAAGTTATAATATTTTTTATTGATTAAGTATCTTATTAACCGATGAAAAGTAAAACCTTGGTTTTTACTGACATTTCTTGAATTATTTGTGCAATATCTAAGTACACACGACGGCATATTTTTACCAAGAGATTTTTTTTAAATCAACACAACACGTGACAACTCTACTAGGCTGCACTAAAAGTATCGGGAATGGAATATTTCCACTGTTCCTGTCATATTAAAATCTTTTTAATTGAAAACTCCTTGGTTTTAAAAATCGAATACCATTTATTTATTTAAAAAAAGATTCTCGGTCTGGTCACAAGGTTTTGTCAAACTTGTTTAGTCGTTGTGAAAATGGAATTGACTCGAGAAAATTCAAGAACGATGATTTATTATGACTTTCGAAGTGGTTTGACACAAAAACAGTGTGTTGACCGGATGATTTCTGCATTTGGTGATGAAGCTCCATCCAAAACCACAATTTATCGCTGGTTTGCTGAATTTCAACGTGGACGTGTCAAGCTCAGTGATGATCCCCGTCAAGGTCGTCCAAAAACTGCAGTCATCCAAGACAGGCATGAGTCAAATACAAATAATCTTGCATGAACAATTGAGAGTAAAAAAGTTGTTTTTCCGATGGAAACCGCATTCGCTCTGTGAAGAGCAAAAAGCGGCTCGCGTTACTTGGTGCGTCAGAACTCTCGAAAGATTCCACGCAGGATCCTCAAATGCTGTATACAACATCGTATTAGGTGACGAATCCTGGATATATGCGTACGAACCCGAAACAAAAAACCAGTCACGAGTTTGGGTATTCGAAAATGAGTTCAACAAAACAACAAAAACAACAGACAGAGACAACAAAAATTGTTCGTTTACGGAGTGTTGCAAAAAAAATGGTGGCCACGTTTGTCTCCAAAACCGACCATGTTACGACTATTCCTCTTGAGGGACAAAGAACGGTTAATGCAGAATGGTATGCTAGCATTTGTTTGCCACAGGTCGTTTCTGAACTCCGTAAAGAGAACTGCAACCACCGCATCATCCTCCATCACGACAATGCGAGTTCTCACACCGCACACAGAACAAAAGAGTTTTTAGAGCAAGAAAACATAGAATTATTAGACCATCCGCCGTACAGCCCCGATCTAAGCCCTAATGATTTCTATACTTTCCCTAAAATAAAGAATAAATTGCGTGGACAGAGATTTTCATCACCTGAAGAAGCTGTGGACGCCTACAAAACGGCCATTTTGGAGGCCCCCAACTTCCGAATGGAATGGTTGCTTCAATGATTGGTTCCATCGTATGGAAAAATGTGTCAAATTTCGCGGAGAATACTTCGAAAAGCAATAAATACATTTTTAAATCGTAATATTGTGTCACTTCCTTGATTCCCGAAATTTTCAGTGCCGCCCTCGTACAAGCGCCTAGCGAGTGACTGATTAAAGTGCGATGTATGTACCGCAGTTGAGTGGAACAGAGTAGCTGAATGCAGTGTCGCCTCTAGTACGTAGTATATAATAGCTCACAGCAATTAATTCATTTGTGGTGTACACCATTGAGTTATACAACACAAAACTTGGAATTCTTTGGCAAATTCTGCATATAATGCAAGACATTATTTGAATCTGCCACTATAGGGTGCAAGTAAAAGTTTGTAGCACTTATGCAAAGCATATAAAGGCTGTCAGGATTTTGAAGCATCAACCACGAACAATGTAATTGTGCCGAGTTGTCTTCCAAGGTAGCGTCTTTATCTAGCTCGTAGGTATAGTTTGATCTGAGGCTTTTAGTTTCAGCATGCTTTATATTCCTTTTATCAGAAGTTAATTTTGAAGGTCTTGGTAAACTAAAATCCGTTTTCTCTTTTCGTTTAATTATTCTTGTATCCTTCTTCATCTTCTTAACTTTATCAAACTCTTCTGTTCCTTCGGTTGATATAGATTTACCAGGTACGACTGTAAGCTTGCTGTTTTTGCCTGTTTTCATTAACTGTGATCGTCTGTTTCGCTGTAAGAAGGCTGGCATCAAACTGACGAATATTTTCTTCTTGTATTATTAGTATTTTTAATGTCACTCTTGAGGGATTAAATGGAAATATTCCGGATCTTTCAAATCCTTTACGTATGTTTGGTCTCTTTTGTCATGTCTATTTTACTCATTAGCTTCTGCTGTAGCTGTGGGAAATCAAACTAGAGCACAACATTGCCCACTAAATAATTTTGTTGAAATTGAGCCCTGTTTATAGACATATTAAACATTCCAAATAATGGACAGTATATTATTACCCTGAGACATTATTTCTGCTCGAAAACACTTTTTCTGTAGCTAAAAATGAAATAAATATAGGACACAAAAAAAATCCACCCACTTGCATCGGTTTTTGTCGCACAACTGGCAGTGTAACTATGATGTTACCATTATAAAAAATTAAAAATAAAAGTAAAGTAAAAAATAAGAAGTAAGCAAACGTGAAAGCGCTTTCCTTCGGGTTAAGTGATAAAACTGTATTATTCCATTGATTAAAACTACTTTTACGGATTTTATCGCGTTTAATTTTACTTTTAATTATTTTTATTTTTAATTTTTTTTCTAATGTAAAAGTAGTTTTAATCAATGTGTAATGTTCGCGTAAATATAAGAAATCATTATGATGTATTAATCCACTTAAAGCAAATCGGGAAAGTAAAATGACGATGGGTACCTCATGAATTGAGTGAATTGAACTTGCAAACACGCGTCGACAGCTGTATTACTTTGCTCAACCGACACAACAATGAAGGCGATTCGATTTAAAATAAATCGAATTATTACTTTTGATGAAAAATGGATATTGTACGATAATCGGAAGCGCTCGTCGCAATGGCTAAACCCTGGAGACCCAGCCAAATCCTGCCCTAAACGAAAATTGACTAGAAAAAATTACTTGTGAGTGTTTGGCAAACTAGCGCTGGTGTCGTTCACTACAATTTTCTAAAATCTGGCCAAACGATTACGGCAGATATCTATTGTCAGCAACTGCAAACAATGAAGGAAGAACTATATGCTAAACAACCGAGATTGGTTAATCGCTCTAGGCCACGGTTGCTTCACGACAACGCAAAACCACACATTGCACAATAAACAACCACTAAGTTAGATGAGCTACAATTGGAATGTCTGCAACATCAACCATACTCCCCGGACCTAGCTTCAACAGATTACCATTTTTTCTGGAATTTGGACAACTTCTTACAAGGAAAGAAATTCAACTCGGATGCGGCAGTCCAAACCACCTGCAAAGAGTTTATTGATTCTTGCCCCCATAGTTTTTTTTTAGTAAAAGGATCAATGAACTACCTTTGAGATGGCAAAAGTGCATAGATAACAACGGTGCATACTTTGATTAATTAAATATATTTTACGAAAAAAAATTGACTTTATATTCCTCCCGTACAAAACGCCAATTTCATATGTAAGAACCTAATATTTTCTATAATTTTAGTATTTACCTAAATTATTCAAATATTACCTACTTATATGTGGTGTAATACAACTCAAAGCTTATATTTTTAGCTTTACTATTTCCAAATATGTTAAAATTTAAAAGCATTTAAACCGTACCTGGTGGGAGAAAGATCTCTAGCGCGTTTCCAATGATAAAAGAATTTTTAAGCCCAGGAATTTTGCGGAGCAATACTGCCTTCTCATTGTAATTAAATAAGTAGTGAACACCAATTAAAAATATCACTACTAATAACAAATAGATCATTGTAACTAGTCGACGTTTCCATAACACAGCTCAAAGTCGACTGGCAATGATATAAATAATTAAGTAACGAAATCAATTTTTATCTGAAACCTTCTTAGTCTTATATCTATTTTATTGCTTATACTTATTAATTCGATATTTTTAGAAATATTATATCTTCTTGCTTTCTAAAGCTTGCTTTTAACTACGGGATATAATGTAATTTATATTACATCTCGAGATGTCCCGGAAACGATGCTGCCGCATTCAGTCTTCAGCTTTGACAGTTGGCTCTTTCTGGCAGACAGATCTCTGGCAAAGACTTTGGAGCCCTGGTTCCGCTCGATCGCTTCTTTAATACGAGCAGTATTAAAGTTGCGTAAGTCTCGCCGCATGTATTTGGAGATCTGTCTGTTCAGTTGCCTGTATGCTGTCAAATTTGTTGACGATTGCAGCCTCATCTCCCGTCTAACCGGAATACTATCATATCCCACAGTGAAAAGCGAGCTTAAAAGAAAGGGTTCAACAGTTCATGTCCGGTCATGTCCTACATAGATAAATAGATATGTAGCAAGCGTTGAAGAAATATGTACTTATTTCATAATAGTTCAATGGTAGCAAGTTATGTCCCATTCTTTATTTATCGTACTGAGAACCGGATTTGTCGACAGGCTTTTTTATTAATTTGGCTTGGATACTTGTCCTTTAAGCTATGTCTTTGTTTATCCCAGTATCAAGTAATAGTAATCCTTTATAGTACACCGCTTCACAATCAGTGGCGTGGCTACCTTGGGGCTAGACGGGGATGTGCCACAGGGCCTCCAAGCTCAAGAGCCCCTCAGACTCCATGACGACGACTTTCGAAAAATTATACATATATTATCCTAATTAAATTTAAAAAAAAAGACTCAACTTTTTCGCCCCTAATCAACAAACCTCGAATGGCTCGAACTGAAATCACTAAAATTTCTCACACCACCAGAACATAAACATCATTGTTAAAATAAAATCACCTAATTCGTTTTATTGCTTTCTAAAGTAGGTACTTAGCACCATTATTATTAACTGTAAGCTACTTTGTCTTTTTTTATTTTCACCAACTTCCGCCCGCGACTTCATTTGCCTGGTATAGACCAACATTGAAAATTATCCCACGGAATTTATCATCATTTAAGTCTACTGCTGAATACAACACCTCCCCAAAGTAATGCCAAAAAGCATGGTCCTAAATTACCTACATCCATCGACTCTTTCTTTTTGCATGCATTTTCTTTTGCATGTCTTGCATAGCTTACTAATCCGTTGGGATATGTCGGTTACTTTGGTTATGATACGGATACTAAGATGTATTAGCAATGTTAAAATAGACTTATGATGTAATAATGAATAATGTAAATGTGTATTGAAACGAATGACGTAATCGGTTATTAATCGTAAATTATCATTTATGTTAAAAAAAAGCAATATTCGATCGCTTTAGTTTGTCGCTTTGGTATTGATTATTATTATATACATAGATACATACATAGATCCAAAGGAGACAATCAATTTTTCTATGGAGAATGGGCCCACCACAAATTTTAAAGATTATCAATGAAATGCATGTCGATTTATTCCTTATAATCCATAGATTACAATAAAATTATTAGTTTTACTGCATCTAAACGGAGTTCTGAGAAATTAACAAATAAAATATGAATCTGACAATAACCTAAAAACAAACTGAAAGCGATTTTCTGGTAGTATTCATCGGTATTATAAGTTAAAATAGTGCACACTTGAATAATAGTACATATAAAACTAAGCTGTAGATATATTCAGCATTTATAAATATTTTAAAATCGATGTAAAATCTTTCACTAGTTCCGGCAAAACATAGTGCCTGTCTATCCACAAATGTATGGATTCTAAGTTTGACATGTATTGATTGATTGTGAGTGTAATTCTAAATACCAAGATGGCTAAGGGATAATGTCTATTTATATTTATGATATTACCAACACACAGTAAGATATGTTTTAAACTGGTTGTATTACAAAGAGAAATTAACAAATAAAATATGAATCTAACAATAACCTAAAAACAAACTGAAAGCGATTTTCTGGTAGTATTCATCGGTATTATAAGTTAAAATAGTGCACACTTGAATAATAGTACATATAAAACTAAGCTGTAGATATATTCAGCATTTATAAATATTTTAAAATCGATGTAAAACCTTTCACTAGTTCTGGCAAAACATAGTGCCTGTCTATGCACAAATGTCGTATGGATTCTAAGTTTGACATGTATTGATTGATTGTGAGTGTAATTCTAAATACCAAGATGGCTAAGGGATTAATGTCTATTTATAATTATGATATTACCAACACACAGTAAGATGTTTTAAACTGGTTGTATTACAAAAAACAAAATATAATGTAGTTAATTCTATTTATTATTGTAAATCATAATTTATTTAAGTATTCTATTAACAGTAGTAGGTACAGAAACAGAAACCTTTTATTCAATTTAGATTATAAATAATACTTATTGAAAGTCACTTTTTTAATTTATCACTGGTTCGGAAAAAAACCTCTGACTTGAAGAGAACCAGCAAAATACCCAGTAGGTCTTTTAAAAAAAAAGGCAGCTTACAATCATGTATGTCATAATTAACAACACAGAACAAATTAGAAATAGCTTGGTAGCGATCATTTTACCCACGGGTTATTGTCAGCCATAAATTCCTTTATACTATAATAACCCCTTTTATACAAACTTAATTTAATAAATTTTTTGAACTTTGATGATTGACTGACATATATAGACAGGAGCGGTGTCAAGACATTGTTTTGTTTTGGTTGATTAGTAAGTAGTATACATCATAATAAAATGACTAGGAATTAACATGCCTTATCTATGTTATTACACAATGATAAATAGTGAGGAAGTAAGATGTTTCAAACTGTTTGTGTAAGGATTACAAAAACACAGGCTTAATTTAAATGTATTTATTACTAGCGATGCGGCTCAGCTACAGCACTGGTGATTTATGGATCTCGACAACAGTGCCATCTACCGGGTCCAAATGTAAATATAAACCATCTATGAATCCATCCAAATACACACAAACATTTTCATTGAAATTGGTTGGATGGTTTCTTATGTTTTGTCTATAACGGACATAGGTAGAAACATTTTAGTGTTAGATATATTTCTGAAGGTTTTTTGAAAATAACTTGATGGTAACATGTACATTTATGATATTGTAAGCAATCAGAAGGAATTTTCAATTATAAGAGATATGATGTAAGAC